ATGAAGCAATTTTGATGATATGAAATATTACGGAAGGGTAAAGTAATCCAAAGGATAACAAAAAAAACTTAACTGTAATTATAAAACGGATAGTTCATTTTTGCACCAAAGCATAAATAAATAAATAAAAATATTAATTACATCAAAAAGGCCCTCTAAAGACCCTCATTTGGGATGACAGCATGATAGATGCCGGTTCATGATGGACTCATGTGAAAATAAAAGCCTAAACTTCTAAACCAACAAAGAATGAGAAACAAATTAATTTTCAAAGGTATTCATTCACAAACTAGAGACATTCAATTGGCGATTGACAGATACATAATTAACAGTGCAAGTCAAAACACAAATCCAATAGGAAAGTCAACAAACAAGGATTTGCACCTGACAAGGCGAATTAGAGACAATACAGGAGCCCCATGGAAACCTCCCACGTCAAATTCATGGAAATTAAATACGATTGGCTGGATTTTTAGAGACGAGAAGGGAGAAGTCATCAAAGCAGGCTGTATAATTATAAGAGAAGAAAGAAATATTACTTACCTAGAGGACGTGATCGTCGACCAATTCACTTGGAATCTGACTCCCCCTCGAAGCGATTCATCTACTTCAGTGTCAAGAACAAACTGAAATTATCTGACTTTTAAAAGAAATTTGACAGATGATGGAAGGCAATTTCATTTTTTCCGAACTTGTTTTATGTTAAGTTGTTGCTTCTTATTTCCAAAAAAATAAAAAAAATAGTGCATCAATTAGTTACTATATTTATTTAATTATTTATTAAAATATGTCAATATTTACATTAAATGATCATCCATATTCTTGTTATGAAAGCAATTATTGAGGACAATTTAGAAAGAAAAAAAATTAATTTAAATCCTAAAATTCTAGATTTGTAAATATTGGCAAACATAGACGTTGGTGAAATATCATAGGTATTGGAAAAAATCTACTGGAGAATTCTTTTTCTTTAATCAAACACGCTGATTCGTCAAAATTTGACCAATAACCTAATCCACTTAAACCGTAGCATGAAATTGAAAATTCAACCAACACACATTCCAAGATAGAAATTTTGCTTTAAATTGAAAAAGAAAAAATAAATAAAATTCAGTATTATCACACTACGAAACTTTCGTTATGAAAACTATAATACTATGAAACTACAACCACTTATTCATCAGATGTAAAATCCTATTGTATTAGAGGAGTCAAAGATTAGTTGAGAACAGCATACCAGAGATAAGTCACATATGGAACTTCAAAATTTTCCCTTCCATCTCCAACTATCTTTCTAATCAAGAATTGCTCCAAACTTGATGATCTCTCATTCACTTAACTAATTTAAAAAATAAAGAAAAATAAGTTAAAAGAAAAAAAAAAGTTGGGTTCCAATTCTTGAACTGGAACCCGAACCCGAACCGAACCCTTCTGGTTCTTTTTTCCTAAACTAGAGATGTGGATTATGATCTTCATCAGAGATAACCCTAGGCAGAGCTTTTACAACCGCTGTTTTATAAACTATTATCCTTATATACGATGTCGTTTTGGTCATCCTTCGAGCATTGTCTTAGCAGCATCAATCAGGGTTGGCCTAAATTCAACTGAAGCTCTACCAAGAACAGTGAACCCTTCCCTGTCTTCCACGTCCACGTCAGCTCCATGTCTTATTAGGAGAAGTGCCACCTGTCAGACACATGAAAAAATATCACAACAGAAGCACTGCATAAATATTTGTCTCCCAACAAGAATTTTGAAGCATGATGCAAAGTTTACAATACAACAAGAGACCGCCCTGGTTTGGGATCTCTTGCTCATACCACCTTAGAGGTTTAAATTTGAACCTTTAGGTGAGCTTAATACATAAACCTCTTGATGTCTCCAGGGTCTGTGCCCAAGATATAGGAGAGCAAACCTTCGACTCCCGATTCTCACAAATAAAAAAGAAAAAAAAGCTCACGAACTAGATGGAAAAATATAGCCCATCATCACGAAGCCTAATGGTAGATCACCCATATCCATTTTAAGAAAAAGGTTTAATTACATATTCTATTTCTGTATTTTGAATATTGTGTCAACTTAATCCTTACACTTTTACAAAGTTTAATTTACAACTCTAAACTTTAAATTATGTCTTTCTTTATTCTCGGTTGAGTTAAATTATGTCTATCTTTATTCTCGGTTGTTAACATCAATAGACTTAACACTCATTTCTTGAAATGTGAAGAAAGAGTGATGAAGTAGTAGCAGTCAGTACAAAAACCAAAAATTTAATTTGCCCTTAAAAAGGATTATCAAATCTAATCCAATTATCTACCAACTCATTTCTAATTTTTCCATTTGGCTGTTAGTTAGATCATGTCACTACATCCAAGTTTTACAAAAAAATAGCATCCCATTTATATGCTTAATGAAGAAACTAGGATAATTCGAAGTTTAGAGACATAATTGAAACTTTTTAAAATTTAGATACAATGTTGAAAGTATAGTAAAGGAAGACTTGGGAAAATTACTGCATAAGTATTTTCCCTGCACCACAAATACCTGGCTTTAGAAACTTTTCTCTACCATAAAAGATAGTCAAACTAATTGCTATAGAAAGTTATAGCTCAGAGTAAAAGTCAAACTGTGTAGTACTTCTCCCTCCCTTCGGTAAAAGGCACTACCTTTTTTTTTTTAATAACTGGAGTAGGAGGCAACCGCGCCTGCCCCAAGATCTGAACCCGAAAGACATGAAGGGTATTTGATATTAAGCTCACCAGAAGGTTCGAACTTAAGACCTCTAAGCCAATATGACTCAAAGACCTCAAGCTTTTACCAACCAAGTTGCCACTTGGGGGCTTGGCACTACCTACAATGTTGCTTCTAGATGATTAAAATTACTAGCTTCATGAATTGTTCAACACCATTTTCAACGAGAAGATGTCTTAAACAACAAACATTGTGGAACAGATGACAAAAAAAAAACTTTATCTATAACCTTTTTTTTTGTGATAACTGGGAGTCAGAGCTTTGCTCCCTTATATTCAAGGGCACTCGCACTCACCCTAAGGCCCAGACCTAAGGGACGTCAAGATTTTTGGTATTTTAAGCTCACCAGAAGGTTCGAACTTGAGACCTATAAGTCGGTATGACCAAGAGACACCAAGCCCTTGCCAACCGGACTGCCCCTTCAAGCTAAAATTCTATCTAGAACTAAAAACATAAATGAGTAGAAATAAAATAATATAACAAAAATAACCTCTTTGTTTTGGCAAATTACTGCATTCATAAGAGGCGTTTGACCAGCTTTATCAACTGCATCAACTTCTGCTCCTTCCTCGATCAAAAGTTCACACAGTTCTGAGTTCCCAGTGCTAGCAGCTCGATGCAATGGAGTGCAACCAACCTAATTTGTGTTCAATTCATCACCTCCATGAGTAATAATTGATAAGATGACGCACAAGTATGACACAAGAGTTTTCAGAACTTGCTGTACTAGCAAACTAGATATTAAATTAAAATAAAGCTTAGGCAATCCAAGAAACTATATAGTAGGTTGCCTTGTCTTTCGGATTAATTTTGGCACCATGTGAGATAAGAGATTCAGCAATCTTCAACCATCCTTTGCTCGAAGCATAATGAAGAGCAGTGCGACCACCATCATTTTTCAAATTTACATCAGCTCCTGTTAGACACAAAATGAGAAGTTCTGAGCATAAACATGTGCATAAAAATATCTCAAGAAGTATACAAATCAGTCACCTGACACCTCACAAACATGATAATGAGTTTGTTAAATAATTTTTGGTTGAACTGTTTAGTTGTTAATTACTTAGTTGTTCTAAACCTCTATAAATAGAAGCTTCTGGCTTTTGTATTGACACATTACTAGAATCAATTTTGATTGTGAGTAAGATTTCCAAATAAAATCAACCACTGGGGCTTTAAATCTGGCCATAGAAGAATTTAGGAGGGAGAAGGCAGATTTGATGGAGAACTTCCCACTGCCCCAATTTCCATATCAATTTGTCCAGTCCCTGACCCAAGTAAAAATCATCGAGTTTTTCTGTGAATAAGGCCCATCGGTGGAGCTAGCAGGGATAGTTTGGGGAATAGTATTAGTATATCAGTTAGGGGTATGTTGGATATAAATAGAGGTAGGGGAGATAAGAGGAGGTATCTTTTAGAATAGTTTAAGGTAAGGGAACTTGGCATAGTTCTTGGAAGAGATAGCCTTCTCGAAAGGCTATTGATATTGTAACGTCTTTTTTATATTGCATTTTGCATCATAGTTACCTTATTACGTTCTTGTAATTGGGATCCTTACGCTCTCCATCAAAAAGGTATCTGTTTACAGAATTGTAACACTGTAGAGAGATTACAACGGCATTTCCCTCATTAGTCTCTTTCCCCCTCTATCTGTAGCTTTTGTAACTCAAATGAGGAAGCTTTTGGACCACATATTCTTGCATCGTCCTTTCGCGCACAAAGCCAAGTCCTTTATTCTTGCAGAGGTTGGTTAATTCCTTTTCCTTCCTTATAAAGTGGACGATCTAGTTCTTAAAATTTTTTGTGGATTGTTATTAAGAGGTAAAGCTTTTATCCTTTGGAATGGTGCAGCCCGAGCCCTATTGTGGTTGATTTGGAAAGAAAGGAATAAAGGGCTTTTTGAGGATAAAAAGTCATAAGTGGACTTGTATTTTGAAAGTGTACAGCTCTTTTTGTTAGGGTGGTGTACAAAACTGAGGAAATGTTTTTTTAACTATAGCTTCACTATAATTAGTAACGATTGGAAAGCTGTGGTTGTTTAGTGTTTGGGAGAAGGTGACCTCCACCCTCTACCCTTAGGCTAGAGAAGGTTTAGTATAGCTTCCTAAGTGATTTTAGGAAAACTAAAACTAAAGTGCTTTTAAAAAATTCATAGTGTTTGGTAATAAATAAAATGCATTTAAAAAAAATCAGAGTGATTTAAAAAAACTTTTTGAAGAAACACTTAAATGGTGATTATCCAAAAGTGACTTTAAAGTGATTGACATTTTGTAGTTTAAGTACTTGAGAACGATTATCTAAAAAGAGTGCTTATTTGAAAGGTATGTCAAACTCACCCTAATTAGAAAAAAGCTTAGACTAATTCACCATACAAGAACCAGCTAGGCCAATATTCGAGAGGGTTGGCTACTCCCCTAACCAAACAATCATAAAACTCCACACCCTCAGGGCCTCACACGTGCGTCATATCCCTTATGGACATGTGCATGGTCAATACTAACTTTAAGAGGTTATGATTCCCTTTTTACTCTCCTTTCAAGGCCAAACATATTACTAGTTCCCAACCCTCCATCTTCAATCAGTAAGGAAAAAAGCCTCTAATTTATATGATGATAGTTATTTAGTATATCAAATCCAAACAAAAATAAGTCTCTGGCCATGTTCTCAACGGATCTAATGAATTTCATGGGCATTCTGAAGATTAGAAGGTGAGGAGACTCATTCTCTTTGTCAAAACCAAATAATCTAATAATAATAATAAAAGAATAAAAGTTTGATCATGTTCTAGACGGTTCTGAAAAAAAAATTTTGATACGAGACAGTTCTGAAAAATCTAATGGGCATCTTTGAGGATAGAAGTACACAATGACACTCACGCTCTTTAAGTAAGAACTTCTAGCCAACAGTCATCCACAGCCAGAAGTTGAGTCATGCTCCCCTATACTTAGGACACCTACGCCCACCCCAAGGTCCGGACCCAGGAGACTCTCCCATCCACAGTCTTCATTACCGAGTCTACTGTAAGATCCATCCCTATGCTAAACAACTTAGCTTTGTTGACAAACTAGCCAACTCAAATCAGCACAAAACCAAGCAGATAAGGTCTGAGGTTTGGTCTTACCGTTTCTTGTTTCTCGTTTCCAATTTTATTAAGAAACCTAAGCATTCAACAACTATCTATGTTTCTTGATTCTCATATTTTAGAAAATATAGTTGTGTTGGGACGATACAATTCTATTTTTCAATATTGATAGAGAAACAATTACCAAATCGGCGCTTAAGTGTTTTAAACAAGAAGATGGACAAAAAAATTCACATAATTTAGAATTCACTAACCTCGACTTAACAAGACGTCCAAAATATGTGACCTCCCAATGCTAGCAGCAGAATGAATGGGCGCCCAACCTTCCTCATCCGCACAGTTAATTACGTTTGTTGAGTGATCAGCAGCAGCAAGTATCTCCACCACCTGATGCATTACAAAGAACTCCAGTAAAGGGCATGGGAGATTCAGATTTTAGCAGCGTCAAATAAAAGTAACATCGCAAATTGTAACCCTCATTTGTAATCCATGGGAGTGGAAGAAGGATTTCGGTTCGGAGTTTGTGTAATTTACGCGAAGGAAAACAAAAGTTAGGAGAAGACTAACACGAAGGTGGGCTGAAGAAACAGCGACGTGGAGGAGGGAGCGGCCATCCTCATTTCTGAGGGAGAGAGATTTAGAAAGGCGCAGAGGCGTGAGAGCAGTGAAAATGGAAGAATCGCCGCTCTCTGCGGCTTTGAAAAGATCTTCGTCTTTGATTAGGCGATCATCTTTCGAGGCATCGATTTCCATATCCATGAAGCTGATTTGCAGTGTTGGTTGCTGGGTTTTTGAACTCGTATCCTGCTTTTGGTTTTGCTCTACTCACTACTGGAATAGGATCCACTCTCTTTGTACCGACGAGAATCTAAAATTGATAATAATTATTATTTTATTAAAATTTTCTTCTATTAGGGTGCGTTTAGTTCGTATTAAAAAAACATAAATCTGAAAAGGATAGATCGAATAAAAACAGAGTTTATTCTTTATTTTGAGCATTTTCAAATATATGTTTGGTCATATTTAGTCGTTAAATCTCAATTTAAAAAAATTGTTTAACTATAGATTTATAAACTAATAAAGTAATATTAGTTACAAACAAAATATTTAGGTTAATCTAAAATAATATTGATTAATTTATATAATTTAGAATACATTATATTTTATATACTTTGATTTTAATAAAAAAAATAAAATGAATTTATAACCTGAAGTAATATATTTATCGAAATTTTTATTTTTTTAATATAATTCTATATTTTAAAATTTTAAATTTTTAAATCTGAAAATACTGAAAACATATGAAAGTCGTTTTCAAAATTTTTACTCTTCTATCACATAATTCGAAAACAGTTTTTAAAAACAAGTCTGTAAAATACTGCCAAACACATTGGTTCTGAAAACAAGAATCAGAATTCGAATTCCTAGGGAGATTGACACAAATAACCCTCTTAGGTTTTCAATTTACTCAAATAACCCACCCCTAAAAAATTATTTTAAATGACCCAAAACAGCTTTTTATGATACGTCATTAGTAGTAAATGTACACAACTACCCCTCATTTGTATTTATTACAAAGTTAAAAGAAGACATAGAAATCGGGCGAGTTTGACTATTTCTCAAGCGGGTTTTCTTAAAATAACAACAAAAAGTTGTTGTTGATGTGATTAAAGTGAAGTAGGCTTACCTTGAATTCTCAGCCGTGGTTTAAAGTTGACTCGCCCAAGTTACTGATCAATGCAATGAACTCTTCAATTAATGCAAACACTTAACTCTCCCACACTTTTATTGTTCACCAAAACAAACCTAGTATAGTATTACCTTCGCATCAGTGCAGTACTCAGCTCTCAGACAACAGAAAAAATATTGTTCAGTGCATTTGTACTCTAAAAAAGTGTACTATTTTGTTTTCCATCTTCCATCTGAGCACGTATTTTGTTCGTGGCTAAATAATATTTCACACCAAAGAGGTAGGTGAAATTTCTTTTAGAAACGATGTTCCGTTTTCCATATGTTTTCCCTCGTTAGTTTACAACTCTAATTTTTTTATTAATATTTTTTTGTGGAAACTTCATATGGGTTGGGCGAAATCTGAAATTTTTATGATTCTCGGCCAAAGTTGAATAATTCCCGCCAGAAATTAAGCAACTCGGACGAAATTCAAAATGCTTTCGCCCGAAACATTTCACCTGTGGTTTGCTGATTCTCAGTCAGGAACATATTAAAAATTTTGTATATTTTTACTATTTTAAGAATCTTGTTGGTTCGTCGTGTAGGATGCCTCGCCTCTTTGTTAGTTGTGGTGGTATGTGGAATGAGTCACAATCTGTTTATGAATATGGAATTATGGGAGGTTTGAATGTGGACGATGGTATAACGTATGACGAGCTCATAAGTGCTATGTTTAGGCTTACCCGAATAGATCCGGCGGACCAATTCAATATTTGAAAATGTCAGTTAAAATACATTTTATAACAATCTTAAATTGTCATTAAAAAACATTCGGTGACAATTATAAACTGTAGTCATTAAGTTTTCCTTTTTCCTTTTTTTTTTTGAGAAATTGTTGTCATTAAGTTTTCATTGACAGAAGAACAAATTTTTTATTGTTTCAGTGACAGTTATAAGTTGTCATCAAATAAAATTTTATGACATATTAAAAATGTGATAGAAGATATATCCGTGACAATTTATAACGGTAGTTGTAAATGCATTGATGACAATTTTAAAAAACTGTCATGTTCTCATTTTCCTTGATGGCTTAATCTATGAAAATTATATAACTGTCCTAAATTAAGTTAATGATAATTTTAAGCTGTCATTGAAGCCCGTATTTCTAGTAGTGTCCCATTCATAAATCTCTCTTTGGCTTAGTCAAAACATCACCAACTCCTTGTTTTCTCTGACTGTGAATATCTCTTCACAAGAATTCAGGGTTTCGACGACGACACATTTCGTCGCTAAAAGGTCAAAATTTGTCCTCGAAAACTTTTAGCGACGAAATAGAGTCGTCGCCGTATCCCGATCGCGAGAGGGTTTTGGCGAGGACTTCTGTTTTTTGTCGTCGAAGGCTACCTTCAGAGACAAAATTTATTTCGTCGTTGAAGGTAGCTTTCGGCAACTAAAATAACTATCGTCGCTGAAGGTAGCCTTCGGCGACGAAATTCATAGTCGTCGCTGAAGATGTCTTCGGCGACCAAATAATTTTGGTCGCCGAATCCAGCTTCGGCGACGAAATAAAAATTTGGTCGCCGAATCCAGCTTCGGCGATGACAATTATTTCGTCCCCGAAGCTGTGAACCTTCGACAACAACATTATTTTTCGTCGTCGAATCTAGCCTTCGACGACCAAATTTAGATTTCATCGCCGAATGTTTATTTTTTTCCCTTTTCAACATTATTATATTCTTCAATAAAACCTCGATGCCATAAATTTCAAATTTCATATAAAAATTTATAATATGAAACAAAAAAAATTGGTTTTACAAAAAATACAAGAAGTCCATACAAACTAAAATTGAACAACCTATTCTAAGAAGTCCCAAAATAAAAAACCTTAACATATGAAAATGTTCCATATCATAAAATTCTTCACAAGAGATATTATCAACTTTCCAAAAGTTTTCAATACAGAAATTGAATGACCCTGAAAAAACAAATAACAAATAAACTTATGTTAATGAAATAATTTATCTATTTCTAAAAACTAATTTAAAAGTCATAAAAATGTATAACTCACTTGACATGCCTTAATTAAGTATTGTAAGTTAATTCACCACTTCGATCCAAACAAACTTCCAATTCTAACTCGCCCCACATGTCATCAACTCAAACTAAACATTCAAGCTTTCCACATGCCAGGAACTAAAAATTGTTGGGTGTGTTGCCCTAAACTCGTAGTTTGTAATTAATGTAAAAACAAATTTATATTCAATAAAGTTTTATTCAATTTGTTGTTGAATTCATTGCATTGCGTTGTATAAATCCAATAAACTAAACATCCAAGGTTATTATCATGTAACCGGGACAATATATATACTTGGTATATATTTGATATACAAGTAGATAATATCTCGGGAATAACCTAAAGGGTCTATATTATATGGATAAGGCTGGGTACCTTATCTTGGCAACACTATGAATACAGTCCACTTTGTAAATGTTACAGACGATCCGATCCAGGTCGTTCGTGTGGAGACATGCGAGTAGGGGTATCCTATACAATGAATTTGTATAAGATCGGACCATGAAATAGCCGATCTTTAGATGTAACGTCGTTGACTAACAGATTGCTATTTCATAGGATGACAGACAACTTATTCTCAATCCTGGGTGAGTTATGGACTCCTACCCGTGAGGGCTGGTTTTTTGAACTGTATGGGTGAGAGTGGTTCGAGTCGCCGACTCAATATTCCTACCATTTTGAGGACGAGACCGAGCGGGGAGTTGGGAACATAACTTCACGAGATGAAATTAAAGTCGGGGAGAAGATAAGTATTCTCTTAAATTTTGACTCCGAGACTTGACAAGGGGCTCCACCCTCTCACTGGCTCGAGATGGACTTTTGGTTATTGGTTGGACCATAACCAACCAATAACCAGGTTGTTCATTAGAGGAGCAGTGGTATTTAAGGAGTAAATGTAACTCAAGGGTAAGACGGTAATTTGACCCAGCTTGAGTTACGAGCACTCGTGAAGGATTGACTTGCCATTAATGGTCGTATATCCGTGGACACGAAAACATTATGCAGTGAGAAGAGTGCAGCTGTGAGTCTTTAGTGGAGTGACTCGTAGTTAACGAATGTTGATTAACTCGATTAATGAGTTTGACCGATTAATCTCGTATCGTTGAAGCTTCTATTCTGTAGGTCCGTTAAATCTCGTTGCTAGCTTACAATGGGTAAAACGAAGATCAATAATTATGAAATAATTTGAAATGTTCAAGTTACACAAGGGAATGTATATAATGTATATTGATACGTTATATGTTATTATATATTTATTTTGGATATAGATTCAAAATTAATAATGAGAGAAATTATTTGAATGAGATTCAAATAAAAATTAATATGAACAAGATTCATATTAAAACTATAGGTTAAAAAAAATATGCATAGGATGTACATTACAACTATAGGTTATACAAGAAAAATGCTTTAGAATATGATATTTTAGTAATAAATAATTAAATGTTAATTCATTATTAATATATATATATATATATATATATATATATATATATATTTAATTAATTGTTAATTGGATTAATAATTAATTAATTAATAGGATTATATATATATATAGTATTAATTATTAATTATTAATATTAATTCTATTAATATTAATTTATTTATATAATTAAAAACTCCCTTGCAAAATTGCAGGGGAGTAGGGGAGTGGGGAAGTTACATGACGTGGGGTATAGTTTTGTTTTGGGCATAAACAAAACTGTGTTCCCAAGAGTTTCAAAACCCAGCATTTCTCTTGAAAGTAGAAAGAAAATTCTCTCTCTCAATCAATTCATTGGCTTCCAAATTGTTGCTCCCACAAGCACATCTTCACCAAAGACATAGCAAGGAAGATCGGTGGTAGTGAACGGATTCATTGGAGAATATTTGAAGAAAGGTTCTTCAAAAGTAAGTTATTTCCCCTACATTTTCCTATTTTGTTTTGTAGTTTTGTTCCTCGAAAATTCAAGAACAAGATCCGTTTCCGCTAATCTTCAAAAATGTTATTCTCACTTCATATGCATGAACTCAAAGTAAGCATTAAAAGTTAACAAAAACTCATTAAAACAACTTTCAAATTCACAAAACTTACTCTCACTAAGCACACAAACTCTATTACC